CTGTGCCACTGCACTCAGCTAGAATAGAGTTTATTTAGCTCATGGTTCTGAAGGCTGGCAAGTCCAAGGATACAGTGCTGGCATATCGTGCTGCCTTATGTGCTGCCTCATGACACAGTAAGGGGCGTCACATGGCGAGACAGAGCAGGTGTGTGTCATCTCAAGTCTGTCTCTCTCTCTCCTTGAGCCACTAGTTCCATCCTATGGGTCCACCTGGTGACCTTATGTAAGTCAAATTATCTTCCAAAAGGCCTGCCTTCAGTACCACCAACATATAAACTTGTTTCCAACACATGAAATGTGACCCATTCATAGCATAGCAGTCATTAAGGTCCCTTTTAAACAGCCAGCAGAGGGTCACCAGCCACTGGCAAGAAGACCCTAATGTATACGAGACCACAGGGAAGAAAAAAGTCACATGGGTAGCAGTGACGATTCTAAGAGAACAAAACAGTTTGTAAAAGAACTATCACTCATAGCTTCTCCAAAATAAAATATTTAACTATGAAAGAGGAATACGATACTATAAAACAGGATAAAAACACTTGTAAATTGAAACCATGAAGCCAGAAGTGAAAATCTTCCTAAGATTAGAAAGGAAAGGTGAAGAAATCTTCCAGAAAGTAGAGGAAAGAGCAAAGGGATGAAAAAATAAGGAGGAGGGGCTGGGGATTTAGCTCAGCGGCATAAGTGCCTGCCTTGCAAGCAGGTAATCGTGGGTTCGATCCCCAGTACCAATAAAAAGGAAAAAGACAAAAAAAAAAAAAAAAAATAAGGAAGAAAATATTTTCTAAAATACTAGAGGAAAAGATGTGGAGACACAGAATACAAGTTCCAGAGAGAAAATGCAGATGAAATTATCAAAGGAGTCAGGTAAGAGAATTCCTTAGAAAGATGCGTATTTCTAGGCTACAGGTGGCAATCAAAGTGGATTAACTCAGATCATGTTGGGCACATCCCTGTGGAATTTCAGGACAGTGGCGACAGAGAAGGAGCAGCAAGCCTTGGAGGGGCGGCACAATGGTCGGTTTGGGGTGCCAGCTGACTAGACAAAGGGATACGTGGTAGCGGGGGGTGTCTTTCTGGGTGTCCGTGGCTTGTTTCTGGAGGGCTGAGAGAGCTCGCTCCCTAGGACTGCCGCACCGTCTTCTCTTGCACTTGGCACTAGAACCCCAGGTCTCTCCACTTTGCAAATCCTTTTCAGCTTTAGATGAATCATATAACATATAAGATATAGTCACTGTGTATTTTAAGTCCAAAGGTTTCCAAATTTTCAAAGAAATGCCTGTGTAGAAGCTACACAATCAACCTGTGGCACAGATTTTTTAAAAAAATAATTTCTATCTGTTGTAAGAATTTCAAATAGATGTAAAAAATTAGTTTTTATAATGATGATTTAGTCCCAAATATATTAGACTGAAAATCTAGATTTTGATTGAGATTGGAATTTGAGAACAAGAAGTTGATGTTTTCTTTGATGAAAATATTTTTTGCTGAGAGTGGTAGTCTATACCTATAATTCCAGTACTTCGGAGGCTGAGGCAGGAGGATCACACATGTTTGAGGCCAGCCGGGGCTATATAGAGAATTCAAGGTCAGCCTGGTATACACGGCAAGACTCTGTCTCAAAAAACAAGCAAAACCAAAAAAGAAAGTATTTTTTGTTAGGTTTCTAAACAAGACTCCATATAAAATGCCACAAATACAGTTGTTCTATTCATTCGGTACACACATAAATGTGTAAATTATTTCCAGCATATAAAAATGCTAGAAACAAACAGTGAATTTAGTGATGTTACATTGTTTCCACTGCTCACTGGTTGAAGGGAGGGTGATTTTTGCAAAGGTTTACTGTACTAACTCCAATTCAAGTTGTCTTGAAGTCAAAGTAATACTTGCTAACTATTAAATAACCAAGGAGAAAATATGACCTCATCAACTTGTAGCATAAATGGGCTAAATTTCAAATCCCCAGGAATGGAAAAGCTGTTTGCAACATACCTAGGTAAGTAAGGTCATTGAAAATGGGATTGAAACTTTTCATAATAAAAATTTGTAATAATAATGATGGCTTTCGTTTTCTCACATGAATCAATATGCAGAAGATTTTAACAGAAGTAATAATATACTCAAACTTACTATAAAAGCAAGAAAATTTGATGTACAGTTTGTTAATATTGACAAATTTAGAGTTCCTTTTCAATGCATGAAAGATATTTGAATTCTAGGCTAATAACACTAAATTGACTCAGGATTTAGGGCCAATTTATCTAATGTGAACAGAAGTAATTTTGCAATTAATGTATTCTTGCTTCAAATTGATTCTTTAGAACAAGTTAGGAATGAGTGTTGTAGAAAAATAGCTTTCAATACTAACTTCCATTAACTGGGAAACATTTTAGTGTTCTTGAAACAACTTGAGCGTGCGAATCTCCATAAATTTCATGCAATCTTAATATAGATCAACTATTTCCGGTGACAATTCAGAGGCCAAATTAGCTGTGCTGTAAGTGTAAAATGCATACTGGATTTTGATGACTTGGTATCAAGAAAAGCATAAAGTAGCTCATTAATTTTTTTGTATTAAGTGCTTGTGAAATGATGGTACAAGCACTTTGGACAAATTGGGTTAAATATATTATTAAAATTCATTCAATCAGTTTACTACTTCCTTTAATGTAACTATCATAAAATTTAGACTTGTACCTGCCTCTCCCATAATCATTCTTGGATAGCGCTGGATCATGCATTTCTTCATCAGGATTTGAGTCTTAGTGACCACAATATATGTACAAATACATGCTATGCACCAGAGATTGTGCCAAAAGTTTTACAAACTCAAAATAACACATTTACCTCAGCACGACAATACTGTAAGATTATTGACTAGGAAACTGAGGCTCGGAGACTTTAAGCAGTTGGCACAAAATCACACAACGAGGTGGATTCCAATTCCGAGTCCCTAACCTGTCCTTTTCATCACCCTGGCAGCACCAACCCATATGTAATATTAGTGTTTCAGCACAGGAGTTTCTTTCCTAAATTTCTTGAGAAATTTGTCTTCCAAATCCCAAACACAAAAGGAAGATCCAGAAATTGAGAAAACAGATAAATGTACTAGAATTCTGTGAGCTTTGATGACATCGCTGGTGAAAGAAAGGTACCTACCGAAGTCAAGCTAGAGTGAGGAGGGAAACATTGTCACTTGGAGCTAAAAGCTCGGGTCAGTATTTCTGGGGGTGGGACCGGAGTTTGTAGGGGAGAGGTGACCACAGGGTCACTGCCAGCCCCTCTTGTGGCGTGGGCCTGCGCTTTTTCATTGCTGACATGGGAGACATTGCTCCTAGCACAGTCAACATTCGTATCCTTTCGTGTGTCAAAATTGGCACACAGATTCCATGAGTGGGATTCAGAGAATGAGCGAGTTTTGGAAGCAAAGCTCTTGAACTGACGATTCCCAGGTGACTCTGGGAGGTGCCCCTAGCCGCGCTTGGAGCCTCTGCTGTTGCTTGGCTTCCTCCCAGCCTGTTCCCAGGTGACTCCCAGTGTCTGCACACTGCTCCGGCCCCAGTTCTTGACAAACACTACGAGAGTATAAATGCTTTGTGAGTATCCCAAGTGCAAGTAGTCTGCAAAGGCTACCAAGCCTAATACTTACTTATCAATGAGAAATTTTGGATACTATGATAATGAGTAATAAGTATGAAAAATGTGAGAAAGTGTTTTCAAAATAAATTATGATTTTAGTAATTTGCTAAGAATCCACATTTTTTATTCCTAGTGTCAAAGATTAATATCTGTCAGAAATTTGGAAATAGTCCCCAGCGTCGTAGGTCTTTATGATCGCACTGACGGGGAAGGAAGGAAGTGATGGCCAGGAACCACGGCTTGGGGATAATTCTCCAGAGAGCAGGAAAGGAGGAGGAAAGACACGCAGGAGGCTGAGCCAGGAAGATCGCCAAGGGTGTGAGGCCAGCCTGGATTACATAGTAAGACCCTGTCTTAAGGAAAGGAGAGAGAGAGAGAGAGAGAGAGAGAGAGAGAGAGAGACAGAGACAGAGACAGAGATAGAGACAGAGACAGAGACAGAGAGAGAGAGGAGAGAGAGAGAGGAAGCCCCAAAAAACAAAAGCCAAAAACCTGCAATGTAGGTAGAAGATTTAGAAGCTCATGGACCTGGTTTTCTAACATAATAAAAGTTGGGGTCATTCGTTGAACTGGAGGCCAGAAGTGGGTAACAGAAATTGTTGGGGAGCATAAAGGTTTACAAGGGGATGAGCATTGTCTTGGGGAGTCTTGTCTTGGGGAGTCTTGGGAGATTTTGTGGGTACCACTGAGCTATCTGCTGAGGTTCCAACAACTCGCCAGAGTAGAGAAAGGCAGCGCATGACAGGGTCCCCAGGTTGTGTAACCTCCTAGACTCAGTGGAGATGGGGTCCTCACATGCACATGAGCAAGCAGAGCCACACCGGGAGTGACATGTCCCTGACAAACAGCTGTGCAGTGGTCACACAGCCCACGCCTGAACTGGGACACAGGTGGAAATGAGCTTGTGAGCAGCCTGGGCTTCTCTGGGGACCTGTATCCTGTTGTATGACTGGCTGGTGAGTGGGGTTGGGGCATTTTGCCTTCTGTTGTAGGGGACAGAGATCCACACCGGCCATCTCAAGTGATGAGTGTTCTTGCAGGAAGCCAGGGACAATGAGCTAGGCAAGAATCACAGGGGACCCAATGTGGCCATACAGCCTGATTCTGCAGAGTCTGGGTGACAATTCTGTACCAGAAGGGATGCTCAGAGTCCAAGAGGCCCTTCCTGAGTTAGATGTCACTGTAGCCCTGTTTGTCTTAGTAAGAGTTAAGGTCCCTGCGTGTGCCTGTACATGTGTGTGCTGCTTCTCCTTGGGCACCTGCTTCCTCCTGTCTCTCATGGGCCATTCAGAAAGAGAGAGAACCTACCTGCTCAGCTAACCACTCATCTGTGTGTTTTGGATGACTGCAGGCTAAGCTATCTGATAAAATCGCTCTTCAGCCACACCAGCTGCTCGAGTCAGGTGCCCACTGCAACACTCTCAGCTATGAACTAGAAGGCATGGTCATGGGCATGATGTGGCCGCCCTGAGCTACCCACTGCCACAGGACGCTCCCCCTGGCAACCTTCTTAAGCTGCTTCGGCACTTACAGAGACTGAGCTCCTCATCCTCTGCTTCCTGAGAGCACTGAACTGGCTGCCAGCCAGTGCCATCTTGGAGCTGGCTCACTTACACGGCCCCAGGTAATTCTCTCCACTTCTCTCCAATTTAGAGACCCCTCTTTACAGAATCCGAATCTACCACTCAGTTAAGGGATGCCGGGTAATGAGAGGGAGAATTCAGATTTGAACCCAGGTTCCTGTAACTCTAAGATTTGTTTTCTTTCTATTGTTTCCTTGTTTTTCCCTGAAAAATGTCTTTGTAGAATTTCTCCCTTAGACCATGCTCCCAAGGAACAGTTGTTTTTCAAGAGAAAGACAACCACAGCGACCCCCCCAGCTACACCACTCTCCATGCACAAGTGCAAGGGGCGCTCAGGCCAGCCCCCTTCTGGGACAGCAGCTGCTCCAGCGTCCAGCGTCAGCCATGACAGCACCACATACATCCTCCTCGGCAGCTGAGGGACAGCCCAGAAATTAAAACACAGTGATGATTCTCTGGGTGCAGTTTAAATCAGATCAGAAAAAAAATTGCCTATAAATAAATTGGATAGTAGTCCTGGCAAACTAGTACAAGTAATTATATCAACTTGATGGTGATAATTATTTTTCATAAAACTCAGTTGCTTCCTGCTTCTAATAAATCTACCCTATGATAATTCTGTAATATGTATTCATTGTACACCAAACCAGGAGTCATTACCGAGTGTGCTAAGAATATGCACTGAATTTCCTACCTTCCCTAAAGACCTTGAACTGTATGTGGTTTTCCCCATCCATAGACAAACCTAGGGCTCAGAGATGTCAGGATATGGCTCTCGGTTGTGGCCTGGGGGTGGTAGCATGATATGGTGTCACCTTTCTGCAAGACACTTTGAGTGACTCCCCTTAAATGCAGAGCAATTGCTGCAACATTTGAACCTTATTTCCATATACTGATACATCCAGGGTGGGGCTATGCTATTCCTTTCTCCCTTCACTTGCCTCTAAGTGATGCAAGTAAGGCCAGCCCCTGGGGTACTGGTATGTAATGCTGGAGGCCGACCTGACAACTTTCTGTTTCCTCGCATAGTTCTGTCTGTAAAAGATCCGAGTGCCATGGCATGGCAGAGCCACTCATCTCCAGGAATGTCAGCTAGGTGTGAGCCTCAAGGTGAAGCTGAGTCCTCAGGGCACAAAAGTTTACATATCAGAAACTGAAGCAAACAGCCACCTCATGCATATGCTTTCCCAGTCTAGTTACACAGACTGGTCTTCCTGCAGATCTTCATGCATACTGCGAAGATGCTTTTCTTCCCCACTGGCTAGCCAGCTCAAGGTACTCAGGCAGTTCCCGCCATCCTACCTGTCACTCATCCCCAAACCATTCTCCTCTCCACAAGATAATAAATTTTGGGAGAAGCCATGCATGGATCAAGGCCTTTGTCTGTACATCCTCACAGGGATTGAACTGAGGACCCCTTGGCTTCCCTTAACTTTGAATATGTCTCTGTCTTTACTCTCACCATAGGTTGCACTGGAGATGGTAGATTGGAATTAACTTTGTTAGGATTCCAATAACATTTTCAATGGGATTATAAATATAATTTTCCAAATTGTGAAGAAGATTAAAAAAGGGATTGCAGTACTTGGATTACAATATATTGAATGCATAATAATATACAATTCAATATACAATATATTCAATACAACGCCTCTCAATTCTTCTGAATTTTTCTAAGAAACTAGTAGTGTCAGAGCCAACACCCCAGCAAGGCTGAGGCAGAGAGAGAAATGGAAACAGTTCGGGGAGTGGAGGCAATCAAGCCCCGTGCTCTTGCTTCCTCTCCTATTTCAATCAGCCTGCCTGCTCAGGAGCAGTTACCACAGCCACAGAGCAGCAGCTCCTTCTTTTGGGGCAGAGGGGGCCGGGAACAGCAGGCTATGTACTAGTCCAGTCTTGCCAGTCACCTTGCTGTGAGACCTTGGTCAGTCACATCATTTCTTTGGCCATCTGGTGCGTCATCTATAAAGATAAGGATTATACTAATTTGCTTTATTTTTTATTTGAATTTTTCAGAAGGATTTGAAATTCATAGCAAAAATGAGCAGAAGATTCAGAGATTTCTCAGACCCCCTGCCCATACTTGTATAGCTCTATTATCAGCATTTCCCATTAGAAAGGGATGTTTGTTACAATCACCCTGTACTGACCCTATACTGACACATATTATGGAGAGTCCAGAATGTGTATTAGGGTTTGTACTTGGTGTTGAAATTCTACTGGTTTAGAGGAAGGTAAAATAATACCATTATACTATCAGCAGTATGTTTCATGGTTTTCCCCATGTCTTCTGTGCTCTATTGATGTATGTCAGGCTATAATAAAATACCTGAGCTGGGTAACCTGTAAAGAACAACAATGTATTTCTCAGAGTTCAGGAGGTTGGGAAGTCCAAGATCAAGGTTTGGTTTTCTAGGGCTGGAGACTACTGTCTCTTTCTAAGCTGTGCTTTACTGTTTAAAGATATTTTCCCTGTTTTCTGGGGGTGAACCCAGGACCTCATGTGTGCTAGGCAAGTGCTCTGCCATTGTCTTAGTTACTTGTCTCTCATTGCTGAGACAAAATAGCCAATACCCAAAGCTAAGGGAGGAAGGGTTTATTTAGCTCAGAGTTGGTAGAGGTTTCAGTCAATAATTGGCTGGCTCCAAGGCAGGGTGGTACATGGCAGAGACACAACAGTTCATGGCAGTAAGCAAAAGCAACAAAGGAAAGAGAAAAAGCCTCCTTCTGTCCCTTATACTGTATCCAATCTACTGGGATTAGGGCTGTGCCAATCCAATTTGTGGGTTGATCCAACAATCACTCATCCTTAATACTAGCATTGCACTATGAATTAATCATACACTCTACATTCATCCACTTCCAAAAAACCTCTAATGACTTGCATGAAGCTTTGGAGGAACATCTAAGCACAAACCATAACATTCTGTCCCTGGCCCCGCAAAGACTCATGCACGTCCCTTTATGCAAAAGGCTTTTAGACCATTTCTAATAGTTGCCAAAGTCCTGACAAGTTCGGTGTTGCTGAAAAGTCCAAGTCCAAAATCCTCTCTGAGATTTAAGGCAAACTCTTAGCTGCAAGCCCCTGTACAAATGAAAAGACAGTTGAACACTTCCAACATTCAGTGGTACAAGATAGACATTTTCATTCCAAAAGTTACAAACCAGGGGATACAAAGGAATGGGACCAAAGCAAGTCCAAAATCCAGCAGGGCAGACATTAAGTCCTGTAGTTTCATGCGCTTCATCTGAGGCAATCTGTGGCAAATTGTGAGCTCCAAAGGGCTTGGATAGCCCTGCGCCTACTGTACTTCTGGTGATCGCAGCTCCCACAGCCTCTCTCTTGGGCCTTCTTTGCTCCCTCCTTCCTGGCTTCTCCAAACTTCTGAGGTCTCCACTGAATCTTTGGCTTCACACTCACAGCTTCACACACTGCCCTTTCTAGGGCACACTGCCTGGCCTACAGGCCTTCTGAAAGAACAAATTCTCTAGGCCGTCACCATTCTAGAATAATGACGTGACCACTGACATTCTAGAACATGGTGCTCTGTGGCTTTCTTCTCAAAGAAGTCTTTCACTTTTGCAATTTCAAGGCTGCAAATGATGGAGTCGTGCTGCTTCTTGTGATGCCCTCAGACCAGTTTTTCTATTCTATTATTACTTCCCAGCAATCTATATTTCCTCTGCTCTTATCTCTTCAGTCCACAGCTTTATTGGAGCTTCCTTTCTGGCTTATGTCTTAAGTTATTCTTCTGGTATCTCTGCTCTTCATTCTCAACATAGTTCTGGCTAAAAGCCCCCAACAGTAGCCATGCCACAGCCTCAGTATTAGACAGCCTTGAAATTTCTTCTACAAGATTAGTAGTCTGCTACCTTTTGTCTCAGACAAAGTCTCTGGACATGAGCAAAATGCATACAAACGTTCTGCCAAGCCACAACACACATCATCTGGAGTCCAACAACTACTGCAGTCCTTCCCAGCAGGAGCCTCTGGACCCTGTTCTTTACTGGCAGCATTTCTATCAGCCTTCTGGTTTTTTGAGCTCTGACCAGAATCTCCAATACAGAACAGCCTAAGGCATTTGGCTCTATTTTTCAGCTGGCATCTCTGAAGAGTTTATCAAACTCTTTCCACAAGCCATTCCCAAAGGCCTCTGAACCACATGGTCAAGTATAGTCACAGCAATGACCACACTTCTCTAGTACAACATTCTGTCTTAGTTACTTTTCTCTTATTGCTGAGACAAAATACTCGGCACTCAAAGTTAAGGGGGTAAAGGTTTATTTAGCTCATAGTCTGTAGAGGTTGCAGTCCATAATCAGCTATCTCCAAGGCAGCGTGGTACGTGGCAGAGGGGCAACAATTCATGAAAGATGGCAAAAGCAGTGAGGGGGAGAGAGAGAGAGAAACAAATCCAGACCTCTGAGATTACGGTGGTGCTAATTCAGTCCAGCAATCACCCACCCTTCATCTCAGGATTGCACATTCTAGATTCAGCCACCTCTGAAAACATCCTATGGCCACAAACCATAAGAGCCACTGAGTTACATCTCCAGACGTCTTCCAAATTCCCTATTCTTTCCCCTGAATTTCCTCAGTATAACACTGTCTTCATTATCATTATTTTGTAGTTAGTTTTAAAATCAAAGTTCTCTAACGTTATTCCTATGATAGTTACTTTTCAAAAAGTTCTTTGCATTTTCAAATAAATCCTAGAATCAGCTCTCCTATTTGGACTTTTAAAACTTCCTCTGGAGTTTTTAATGAGAGCATGATAAATCTGGAGGTCGTTTTGGAGAGAATTGCCTTATTAATATTGAGTCTTCCAATCTTCAACACACTATGTCTCTTTCTTTACTTAGGTTTTCTGTAATTTCTCTCATTAATTTTTAATTTTCAGTGTCTTAAGTCTTGGACGTAATTTATTGGATAAATACCTCAGTGATTTATAGGCTGTTGGGATACTTCCACATTTTTAATTTCAATTCCCAACTGGTTGTTGCTACTATATAACATGTAATTAATTTTGTATATTAGCTTTCTACCTTGAAACACTGCTAAATTCATTTAGTAGTTCTTAGAGTTGTTCTGTAGATTTCTTCACAATTTCAATATAAACAATCATATCCTTTGCAGATAGGATATTTCACACCTTCCTTTCCACCTTATAAGCTTTTTGTTTGTTTTCCTTGCTTACGACGGGCGGGCCAGTATGGAGTAAAGCGAGTAAGATGGGAATCCTTGTCTTTTCATTGATCTAGGAGAAAATAATTCAGCCTTCATTATATGTGCTTTCACAGCTACTTTTACCAGCTTGAGAGAGATCCAAACTATTCCTAGTTTCTGAGTCTTCTTGTGAATACTGATTTTGTCAAATACCTTTTCTGTATCTATTGAAATGATCATATGATTTTTTTCTCCCTTATTCTGTCGATAGGTGAATTGCACTGATTGTCAAAAGTCACACCAAACTTGCATTTCTGGAATAAAACTGCTTAGTGGTTATGCTACCATATATTCTGAGGTTTAATTTGCTGTTATTATGCTAAGGACCTGGGTTTCAGAGTCATGATGGAATGGATTTCTTATTTTTGTAATGGCATTGTCATTGCCAA